TGGCCTGCCCTCCACACCCACAAAGGCACACACCCGTGAACACCTACACCTACAGGGGAAGGGGAGTAACTTAAATTGTGCATTTAAGCAATTTGATGTCACCATTTCCTGGAATGGGAAAACTCTGATACGAGCTTGGGATCTGCCATGCCCTAAGTCATCTTCAGACAAGTTAAAATGCTTTTCTTCTTCATGTAGGGCTTGGGACGGTGAGCCCCCATCCAGTAGAGGCTGCGGCTGGCAATGTGAGCATCACTGGTTGGCACTCTCTCAATACCAAGGGATGAACACCCAGCTGAAGCAATGAAGGAAAATACACAAAAATTTCACTGCCACTCTAATGTGTGTCCCTCATGATGAGTAACCAAAAGCAATGGCTTCAGGCACAATCTGATCCAGAGACCTAGACATCAACACAGGCTCTGACCTGTCATTCAACTCCTCTTCCTTCCGTGACACGGTCTGAACCATAAAGCCGTCCCTAAGCTTATCACCCATCCAAGAAAACAGAAAACTTGAGTAGTCTAGGTCCTGAACAGACCCTGTGGGCCAAACTCCAGAGAGGCAGGAGCTACTACACACAGGGGTCCATACCCCACCAAGTGTCTTAGTCACAGTGTTCTATTTGGGAGGAAAGGGTTTATTTGGCTTATACTTCCACATCACTGTTCATCACTGAAGGAAGTCAGGACAGGAACTCAAACAGGGCGGGAACCTGGAGGCAGGAGCTGATGCAGAGGCCATGGAGAGGTACTGTTCAGCCCACTTTCTTACAGAACCCAGGACCACCAGCCCAGGGATGGCACCACCACACTTTCTCAACTACCTGTGTCACAGTACAGAACTAGTTGTAAGGCCAGCTCTCCAGGAAGGAAGTCTTGGGAAACTAGTGCCTGACTGAGTAAACACTATTACTCTTGACAAGGAAAGCTTCAGGCGTTGGTGAATTGAGCTGGTTTTGCCCAGGTGCTGGGCAGGCTAAGGCAGTGGGTGTCATTTCTGGCGTCTGTCCAGTCATTACCATGGACTTATGCCAGCCCATGCTTTCTAGACTGGTCTCTCCCTAGATGCATATTAGAATTACCTGGAAAACCATCTCCGGTTAAATGAGACCCTTCATGAGAGAATCCTGGACACCACTATTTGGGTAAAGCTCTTCTGAAGTGACTCTAGTATAGATCCAGGACAGAGAACTGTTTGGTTGAAACACGGAAAAAGATCTTTAACAGCTTTCGGTGATGGAAAGGGAGATGGACTAGTGATCTCGCCTTGGGCCAAGGAGCCTTGGTTAGACTGTGGACCATAGTAGGGGTATGAAGAACATGTTAAGCAAAACTAGCAATGTTCGGTCCGTTGTTCAGGTACACATGGAGGAGGCACTGTGGGCATGGCCTGTGCTGAGAATTAAAAAGCAGTGTATGTGAGCCCTGCCCTCCCAAGGATTCTACCCTGAGGGGGCACTGATGGGAGAGACCACTCCTCAACAACCAGCCAATGCTTCGCTGCGTAGGAAAGGTACGACTAAGAGACAAAGCCCTGTAGACGACATGGTGATACGCTGTGATGGCGGTCTGGGTGCCAAACAAAGGAAAAGGTCTCCTTGACATGTCCACTGTGCACAGGCCAGAACCCTACCCCCAAAATAGCCCATTTTGTCTGAAAGATTAAAATCTCACTCTCAGCACCCTCCCTGGATCTCAATCTATTCACAGGAAACCTTACTCTCTAACCATTAACGACTGTGAGCCTAAGGCATTGGAAGCTGGTTACCCTTCCCACCTTCTTGCCTGGAATTCACTCATTTCAGGAATTCCTGTAGAAAAGCTTAACTAAATGAAAATTGTTGAGAAAACTTTTTGAAAACTATTACATGCGCTGGGACTGGGGGTACAAAGATGGATGCATTTCAAGTATGTGTACCACTCTCTTCACCCACCGGTGCGGAAGTCAAGTTGAATGGCAGCAAAACCATTCAGAGTCGCCAGCCCTTGGATGGGAGTGCTACCCACACCTGTAGGCGACCCAGTGTGCACCGCCGAGGACTGAAATCAGAGTTACAATGAGAGTCAGGTGTGAGCAATGTTTGGGCACAAGCTGCCAGTCTCCCAGGAATAAATGGGCAAAGCGAAACGCAATCCAGAGAGATGGGGGGTGCTGATGAAGCCTTTGCTGATGCCACTGGCAAGCTTTGTTGACTTCAGGAGTAAGCCTCTTTGGCCTTCTAACCTGGACTAAAGACAGGGGACTCTCAGGGAATCCTCCAAGCTTTCAGAACCAGATTGGAACTTCTGAGACATCCAGATTCATGAAGTACACATCTACCAGGTTCTCAGCCCCTCCGGTGTGAAGGCTGCTATTGTCGGACTACACGGACCATACCAGGCAAGCCTATCCAATAAACCCCTTTATATATGCACTATAAATGGCAGAATCCTATCGGTTCTATTTCTCTGGAGAACCCTGGGTAATACGCCCATCGTGGCAGGAATCTGCCTTCCCAAGACCTCTAGCTGGATTCGGACTTGTGCAGGCTTGTCCTGCAGACAGAACTCCCAGTCTCTTGACCTGGGCTGTGGCTTACCCTTTGAAGGAAGGTGGAGGGTTTCTGCTCAGGGAACTGTAGCAGGAGTCTATGCTGCTTTCCAGCACCCCCCTTTGCTTTCTAACCCCCCGACGCGCCCCCCCCCTGCTTTCTGTCTCACCATGCTGGCCATTGTTGTGGTCCCCTGGTGTTGTTATAACAGAATAGGGTCATGGAGTGTGTTCCGTTGGCAGCTTTTTGTCTAGGGAAAGTGGTACCAAGCAAGCTCCTATGTCCCAATGCTCAGAATAAGTATCAGAATCTTATGTAAAATATGTGATAAAAAGTTGTTTTGCTTTACATTTTTTTATTTTAGGTGTGCTTTTGGTTTTTTGTTGTTGTGTTTTGTTTTTTGTTGTTTTGTTTTGTTTTGTTTTGTTTTGCCAGATATGGTGGTTCATGCTTTTAATCTCAGCATACCAGAGACAGACAGGCAGATCTGTGAGTTCAAGACCAGCCTGGTCTGTTGCATGTAATGTTTTTTACTCTTTTGGCTTTTTGAGAGGCCCACCACCCAGCTCCCAAATAAATCACACCCAGAGGCTTATTCTTAGTTATGAATGCCTGGCCTTAGCTTGGCTTGTTTCTTGCCAGTTTTTCTTAAGTTAAATTATCCCAACTACCTTTTGCCTGCGGGCTTTTTCCTTTTACTTCTGTATATCTTACTTTCATCCTTACTCCATGGCTGGCTGAGTGGATGGCCCCTGATGTCCTCCTCTTTGTTCTCTGGCTCCTCTTCCTGGGTTCTCCATTTATACTCTGCCTGTCAGTCCCATCTATCCTTGCTCCTGCCTTGCTATTGGCTGTTCAGCTTTTTCTTAGACCATCAGGTGTTTTAGACAGGCAAAGTAACACAGCTTCACAGAGTTAAACAAATGTAGCATAAACAAAAGTCACACACCTGATAATATTCTACCACGCTGGTCTACAGTGATTTACAGGCTAGCCAGAGTTACATGAGATCCTTTCTCAAAGAGAGAGAGAGACAGAGAGAGACAGAGACACAGAGAGAGACAGAGAGAGACAGAGGAAGGAAGGAAGGAAGGAAGGAAGGATGTTTTCCCAGAGTCAAGGCAGTACTCTGTTTGATCCCTGTTTTAAGATGTTATGAGAACTTTAAAATTCACATATAAAACATTGTGTGATACTATGATTTATATTTAAAAGTAAATATTTGTTCTTCATCCTTGGCTTTGTTTCTTGGCTCTCAAAATGCCTGGGATCTCCAGCAATGAGTATCTTATTCCTAAACTTCAGAACATGAGTATGCAGACTCCTTTTTGATAAACAATTATCAAACTGTGTGGGAAGGTCTTGTAGATGATATGACTAAAGGCTAGTGGCTGAATACCAAAAACCAGGGCAAGATTAGTGCTGAGATTTGAACCCAAGCCCTAATCTTCCAGGAAAGGAAAAAGGCAGAAGGGTGAAGTGGTTACCAATGACCAACGGAGGAATGAGAGTCCAGCCTATTAACAAAGTCTCCAAAGAAAGTTTAAGAGCACTTTGAGATAGGAGATCCTGGGCAAGGGCCTGGAGGAAAATATCTGGGGGCACCCCTGGAGCACCTCACCCATCATCTCCAGCTGGCTACTGTCTGTACCCCTTACAGGGGGCAGATTTAAGTGTTTTGCTGAGTTCTGACTCACTCTAGCACATTAATCATCCCCGAGGAGGCAGTCAAAGTGAAAACACCAATGTATCAATGGCTTCTCTCACCAATGTTATCAAATACCCGGCAAGAAGCCACCGCAGAGGTTTGATTCATGGCAGAAGGGCTGATCCACCACACAGTGACGAAACAGAATAGGCAGGCAGCTGCATGGCGACAGAAGCCCGTGGCCCATTCCTCACCTCCATCTCTGAGCAGGAAGCCTTGGCTTTCTCCTTGTCCTCCTCTTAGAGAGCCTGGGTACCACCCACACTGGAGACAGTTCTTACCCACTCAGTTAACCTTCTGAAAATGTCCTCACAGGAAGGCATTTCTCACTCATGTTCTAGGAGTTTTATTATCCAGTCAAGTGGACACTCCAAATTAACCATGGTACCCAGTTTACAGGGGCTGCAGACAAGATGTGCAATGCTATCTGTCTTGGAGAACTAAGCCTTCAGTCAGTGGAGCTGCCTCACCCCTGAGACAGAGTCATCTCATACGACCCCAACTGGGTACCCTGGAGAATCTGGTGTCACATAGTGTAGAGGAATTTAGGAGCAGGATAAACAGTTTCCTCCTATATCTCTAGTACTGTTTACTACACATTACATAATTAAACCTGTTAGTAAATTATTTACATGACTTCTGGGTTTTAAGAAGGTTTCGACTACCTATTGCTTACTAACCCTCTTACAGAAAGCAACAGAAATGAAAGCGTGATAGAATTACTAATGTTCCCACACATATGCATCATACAGACCTTTCCATAGTTTACAGATTTTATTAACAATCAAAAACACTTTGCACTTACATAGGAAAATAAATGCTTCTTTGATCAATAATTAAATGGAAACTACCCAGGACCTTACAGGCTTTTCAGCAGGTATGATATTCAGAGTCAGATGCCAGCTTGCCAGGATCAGTAGGATAGTGCTTTGCTGGAACCTATTTAAAAATTTACCAAACAGCTTTCCGAATAGTATTTTTTGGTTGTTGTTGTTTTGTTTTGCTTTGTTTTTGTTTTTCAAGACAGGGTTTCTCTGTATTGTTTTGGAGACTGTCCTGGAACTCACTCTGTAGACCAGGCTGTCCTCAAACTCACAGAGATCCGCCCGCCTCTGCCTCCCGAGTGATGGGATTAAAGGCATACGCCACCACCGCCTGGCTCCTAATAATATTTTATCTGAGATTACAACAGGAAAAACAAGCCAGTGTTTAGTTTTAGATAGAGCTCACACACACCAAGAATCAGTCCTGATTATATGGCTTAGATACTTTTTTATAAAGGTGCTCAACAGAAATTCAGATCTCATGTTAGACCAAGAATTTCAGATGCAATAAGGCAATTTCTGAACTCCAAAGTTATTTAATGCACAATAGTTCAAGCAGCAGATACTACCTCAAAAGAAATACTTATTTTGCCTCCTTGTTTCCCCCAGTGCTAATATCTGTCAAGTTCATCCAGGACTGGAGAACACACCGCTGATCTAGTCACTCACACACACTCCTTCCCAGATGAACAATATGTGTTTCACTTATTTTGTTTCTTTACCTTTATTTTTGGTTTTTAAAGACAGGGTCTCTCTTTGTAGCCCTGACCATCCTGGAACTCGCTCTGCCTCCCAAGTGCTGAGATTATAGGTGTGCACCACTATTTCTTTCAGAAGAAATGTCAACTACTTGTCTCTACTTGTAAAAAAAAAAGACAGAGCTAAATCATCTAAGCCTCATTTTCCAGTGAATGATTTAAGTCTTTAGTTTGTAAATTCTCTTAGTAAATCTCTTAAAATCTATGCATCAGGGAGAAGACTTAAATTTAATGAACACCATGCGATCCTCATTCTCATCAATAGAAAGCCGTAGCAAAAACAGAGCCTCATAGAAATTCCACCATTGAGTTTTTTTAAACCTGAGAGCTTAGTAGGAGTCAAAGTTGTACAAAGTCAGTAGTCCCTCCAAATCTGTAAGTTCAAGACAAACTACGACCTAACAGACTTGTATTCAAGTTACTCCATCCAAGTGCCACTCTCCTAAGAGCCTGTTTAAGAGTTCACTGCAGTGTAGCCAGAGGTAAGCGGGGACACGTGACCCTCGTTTGCTCAGTCTGTCTCTGTCCCATACAATACTCACCACTCACAGTTTCCTAAGTCTCCAGGCACAAGCATAAACAGAAAGAGCCACCAGGAATGCATCAGCTTTTGACAGTCAAAACACCTAACTTCTACAGAAAATTCTTAAGAAGTGCTTTGAATTTAAGTATTTTTTTTTACTTCGGTCTTCAATATTGAAACTGCTAAGGTTACTCCATTTTCCTTATTTAAAAAAAAAAACAGGAAAATATACTTGAGGGGAGAATAAAAGGTAAAGTTGGAACAAATTACTAAGTAGGCTTAAGAAAAAACTCAATTAAAAAAAAAAAATCCAGGGGCCAGAGAGACGGCTCAGTGGCTAAGTACTTATTGCTCTTGCAAAGGATCGTAGTTCAAGTCCCAGCACCCACATCAGGTGGCCCAAAGCCACCTGTAACTAACTACTCAGCTCTAAGGAATCCAACAATCTCTTCTAGCCACCATGGGCACCTGCACTGAAGTGAACAGACATACACAGTCATACATAGTCAAAAATAAAATAAACCTTCAAAAAATACTCCAATAAGAAATAATAGTTGCATGCTAGGCTTGCTGACCGGTCTTTTTGATAACAACAATTAAACCCAAATGAACTATTCAGTAATAGAACTCTAAATGACATCCAGCTGATAAAACATTACGTATTTACTAGATAATTAGGAAATGGTCAAAGAATGTGAAAAGGCAAATTCACAAAGGGCCCCTGGTCATTTCCACAGTGCACAACTCCATGTGCAAACACTGCACAGTAGCAAAATCAGAAACGCAGTGTCACCTTGTCATGGAAAGATCTTCCTTTTATTGAATAACAACATAAAGTCCCTCTGGCTACTATAAATTCTTGAAACAACATACAGAAAAAACAAAAATAAGTGTCTCTGAAAACTAATGTTCTCCGGGAGATACCCTACTGATCTCACTCAAAACTCCATTTGCCTCTACTGACAAAGGTGCCACCTGGCACACAGTATAGTTCTGAGACATAAATTAATGGGTCTGAATGGCTTCCCAGAATGCCCTGTGGCCTAGTCCTCATACTTGACATCATCAGGCAGACCCTAATTTGTCCATCTTGAGCACTTTCATGCAATACACAGTTGTTTTTTAAAGATAATATTAAATGGTTTTGCATCTGTCTATAGACCACCCCAGAAGTACAATCATACTTCTCTCATAATTAAACAGTTCTCAGTCAGCAACCAAACTATGGGGTCTGATGATTTGTTTAAGGTACTGAAGCAGAGTCCAGGGCCTTGCACGGCACAGACAAGGCTCTATCACTGAACTATATCCTTAGCCTCAAGTTACAGATTTCAAATGTGTGGGAAACTGTGATCATAAATAAAGTCCACTATGTGACATCCTCTATACAGAGGATTACTTACCAAAATGAGTAATTTTTAATAAAAAAGGAAACTATTCAGAAAAAAAACAAAACTCATTTTTTTCTAACTGCAGTAGAACAGGATTCCAGAGTCTTCTTTAGGCCCCCAAATCACAGAGAAAGAATATTTCTGATGGTCTTACAATGACAGTTATAGCATCCTAGCAACAAGGCTTTAATGAAAACATCAGTCAAGAGTGATTCACACAGAGTATATACTGTTCTCAAACAGTTGCCTAATAATAAATTTAATTAAAAATAAGAAATTATCATAGCATTATGTTCATCAAATATGTGGATACACATCAGTAAGTGTTACAATAAAGCAGTCATAGTTACCGCGGTAATCTGTACTACAAAAATAGCCATCGAAGGCCTAGCATACTCAGTATAAGGGTTTACTTCTTGCAAGCTGTGTATCTTTCAGTGACATTCTCCCAGTTGATTACATTCCAAATAGCCTTCAGATAATCAGGTCTGACGTTTTTATACTGAAGGTAATAGGCATGCTCCCACACGTCGATCCCCAGCAAAGGAACAAGGCCTATCAAGAAGAGGGAAAAAATGACTCTTACAAACAGATCATCCACTGGTTTCTTATATCATAGAAAATCTGCATAAGAGTGACTATTCCTACAAAAACATTTTACATTTTTATTTTGAAGGAAATATAATAAATAGGTAAATGTGTAACAGTCCCCAGAAAGTCAGTGAGACTACAGAAGCTAATGTCTTGAGTCCCCGCCTTCCTCACAGTGTCAGTCTGAGCCACACTGAGGTATGCTGCCTGCAGAGGCTAAGGCTTAAGCCTCCCTCCCAAGTTCTGCGCACCCAGGGGTTGGAGGGAAGAAAGCCAAGGAACCTGCTCTACTCTCCAAGGTCATTTTAGTTTTCTGGATGAGTCACTGAAAAGAATAGGTTAACACAAAGCTACATAGGACCAAGGAAAAATGATGGCCACCTTCAGAAATTAAGTGGTATAAATCAAGTATGCATGTGTGTGTGTGTGTGTATATATATATCCTCAACAGATATGGTGGCACAGGTCTGTGTTCCCAACATATGGGAGGCGGAGGCAAGAGGGTGCTGAGTAGGCCAGACCAGTTTGAAGAACAAAGCGAGATTCGAGGTTTTCTATGAAAACATCTCAACCAGTTTATGTAGACCAGTTATGAGGAACATAACTCGTTACTAACAGAGTAGCAAGACTTTAGGACTTTTCAGTCTAACGCACTTTCTGTGTGGAGAGAAAGGGCTGTAGAAACCACAGCCTCTCGTGAGGCACCCTGAGAGGCTCACTGACTCTGAAGAACTCACGTTAAGTTTTTCATGGCTTTACCAGAGTCCGCGGCATCTTATCTCCCCCCAAAAAAACATTTGTGTTCCCCCCAATCTGAGTGTATGCAGAAAAGAGAGACATGGGCAGGAGGAGAGGAGGAGCAGACATCAGTCAGAGACCAGGGGCCACAGCCCCCTGCTATACACGGTGGCACTCCACTTCTTCACCCCTCAGTGACATTTTATGAAGGCCATCTAGTTCAGTCAGGCCTAGGGAAGAAAGGACTGCTGAACTGGGACTCTCACACATGGAGCCCTGCAGAAAGGTAGGCGGGCAGGACCTGAGCTCCGGCCCAGTTCAACCACAACACTTACCAGAGGAGAGTACAAGTTCCCAAGGCCAGCTCAGCTTCTATGTGTTTCTTCCCTATTGCTGCTTATCTAATCCTAGGTTTTTATTGAAATGCATATTTATAATTAAAACTGACCCTGGTTTCCTATAGGATGAAGCAGGATTCATGATTAAAACATCCTTATTAAAGAGCCTACGAAAATAGCAAGTGCTTATTTTACAAAGTGTCAGTTTCTGTTGTGAAGACTCTAGTATAATCAATCTACTAACATTTGCTCAGATTACTATACACTCCTAAATCTAAACTCTGCTAATTCGCCTCTTTCTAGTTCAAAGCTCTCCAGAAAACAGTATCTCTGGAAGGAAAAGATGAAGAGTTTTAAAGCTTACCTGTGGTTCCTTGCAATGGGTCCTGATTAGAGCAGGCAGCAATCTGTAAGCGACCCTGCTCCTTATTGAAGCCAAGCCAGCCCCAGCCTGAACCTTGAACTCCAGCAGACACAGCAGTCAGCTTCTCCTTAAACTTCTCAAAAGACCCGAAGTCACGTTTGATAGCCTCCAGCAACTCTCCTGAAGGAAAAGAAGGTTTCAAAAACTACACTAAAATGTTATGTTCATAACACTAAAACATTCTTGTCAAAGAACCAACTGAACATCAATCTGAAGATTCAGACAACCAGGGAGCCTCTGTAATGCCAGTGTCCTGCCAGACACTAAGCTGAGTCTCCACTGGAATCATTTTTAATGAAGGCTGATTAACGCAGTTAGGGATTTCTTCACCCCCTGTGCTGTTTTCACCAGGAAAGAAAGAACAGTCTCCATTGGCTTTCTTTTGGTTTTTCCCATCTAACAGTTTTGACTTCGGTGTTCCCATCCCATGTCCCCACTCAGAAATTGAAAGTTGCTGCTGTTACTCAGTGTTCTTCAAGTCTAGATCCTCCCATATTTTTTTTTCTTGGCTTTTTGAGACAGGCTTTCTCTGGGTAGCTTTGGAGCCTGTCCTGGAACTCCCTTTGTAGACTAGGCTGGCCTGGAACTCACAGAGACCCACCTGCCTCTGCCTCCCGAGTGCTGGGATTAAAGGTGTGTGCCACCACCACCCGGCTTTTATCAAACTATTTTTAAAATAATTCTCCTCTTTTGTTATTGAGCTAATAGTGCACTTGAGAGGGCTGGAGCACAGTTCACTGAACAGACCTGACTGGAGTTCATGAAGCTCTAGATGTGACCCCAACAAAATAAGGGAAAGAGAGGGGTATGAGGGGAAAGACAGCCACATACACATATAACCTGGTCTCAAGCTTCTGACCCTCCTGGCTCCACCTCACAAATGCTGGTGTAGGACCCCACCCCTAGCTCAATCTTTTATTCTATAGCCATATAGAATAAATTCCGCATTGAGCATATAAACTGAACCAGATGGGTCCAACATCCCACTTCTCTCATTCTGTTGACCAAAATGAAATTATCTTTTGCAGACACAGCCAACCGTCGAGTAGTTCAAACTGTGCAGCAGAAGCGCCAGCGCCACTGACTGATCTGGGCACCCTTTAAAGCCTGGTCAGGCCTCACAAAGTCCCACACATATCAAATCATGGTCTGAAGTGCTTGCAAGAGTAGGTAAGCTAATGAGGAAGACAGGCTGCCTTTTTCTTTTTTTCTTTTTTTTTGCTTTTTCGAGACAGGGTTTCTCTGTATTGTTTTGGAGGCTGTCCTGGAACTCACTCTGTAGATCAGGCCAGCCTCGAACTCACAGAGATCCACCTGCCTCTGCCTCCCAAGTGCTGGGATTAAAGGCATGAGCCACCAACGCCCGGTATGACTTTTTGTATTAGGAATACTAAACAAAGGTGCTACTCCAAGCACATTACATACGATTCTGAAAGTAGCCCCGTAATTAATTACCCCTGTATCACACAGGTGGAGCGAGCACAGTGTACGTGGCTGGCTGGCTTACTCCAGTGGGTCCAGGGATATAAATGAAAGCTCATCTTTTCTAAGTGCTAGTTTTGCCCAGGCTTTCCCTAACACTCACCCTAGGAGAGGGCAGGGCAGAGAGGGAAAAAGACAGACAGAGAGAGAGAGAGAGAGTTTTACTGGGTGACAGAAATCCTTGGACACATTCTCTATTCCTCCTCCCCTTTGAAACTTAACTTGTCACACCCTAACTATAAAAAATACACCAATATGATAACCCAAGGAAAATCTAGTTAACAAACAAATGGACAGTCTTCTGGGGGCAAAGGTCAATGGGCTCGTATTTGGCATACAGAAGATACTTAGTTCAATTCCCAGAATTATAAGTCAGACATACACAGGTCAGTGGTGGCTAACGCCTTTAATCCCAGCAATCGGGAGGAAGAGGCAGGTAGATTTCCATGAGTTCGAGGCCAGCCTGGTCTACAGAGTGAGTTCCAGGACAGGCTCCAACACTACAGAGAAACCCTGTCTGGAGAAAAACAAAACAAAACAAAAAGCAGTTGTGAGGGAGTGGGGAGGCAGGGGGGTACTCGATGGCTCAGAGAGCAACAGCACTTGCTCTACAGGCCTGGTGAAGCAGAAAGGGGAAACCAGCTCCACCATGCTGTCCTAAGACACCTCCACACACATCATGCACAGATATACACAATAATAATAAAATAATACCAGGTGTGGTGTATACGACATTAATCCAAACAGGTGGATCTCTGTGAGCTTGAGGCTAACCCAGTTCTACTAATCTACAAAGGGAGTTCCAGTCAGAGATACATAAGAGAGACAATATCTCAAGGAAATAAACAGGGCTGGAGAGATGGCTCAGCGGTTAAGAGGACTGACTGTTCTCCCAGAGGACCCAGGTTCAATTGCCAGCACCCACAGGGCAGCTCACAGCTGCCTGTAACTCTCGTTCCAGGTGATCTGATACCTTCACACCAATGCATATAAAGGTTAAATAAATTTAAAAAAAGAAAAGAAACAATTTCTAAAGACTGTCTACATAAAGTTCCAGGCCAGCCACAGCTACACAGTAAAAACCTGCCATTTAAAGAAAAAAGCAATGATAATAAGAGGACAAAACAAAACCAACAATGATTCCCATAGCACAGCAAACGTAAGGCTGTACCAGCATGCACCAACCTTTGGGCTCTCCACCACCATTAGGGCTCAGGTTTGTCCAGAAAATGCTGTGATTGATATGTCCCCCACCATTGAACTTCAGGGCAGGTTGAAGAGCAATCTGAGTCGTAACATCTCCTGAAACATAAAACGCAAACACCCAATAGAAATTCTTCCTCAGCCAGGAGGTGGTGGCCAACACCTTTAATCCCAGCACTCGGGAGGCAGAGGCAGATAGATTTCTGTGAGTTTGAGGCCAGCCTGGTCTACAGAGCGAGTTCCAGTACAGCCAATGCTACACAGAGAAAACCTGTCTCAAAAAATTTTTTTTAAATTTCCTAAGTCTGCGATAGAGTACTACAATCAGGCATTACAATAAAACATTGCCTTTTTTGTTCTCAGCAGTACTCACTAAACAAATAAAGCTTTAACTACACACACACAAAAGGAGGGATTAAAATTGAGATGCTTTTACAACACTCAGGAAAGTTTTCCAAGTGTCAGATGTCTCCTTAAAGGAAACACTTTCCCAACTGGGATATTTGCGCTTCACCATTACCTCATCCTTCCCGCCTCTGTTATTCCTAAATCAGAGTCTCTTCCCGTATTCAAGGTTCATGTGATTTGCTTATTGCAAGCAAATCTTCCAGAATGTGGTAATTTCCTTCTCTTGTTTTGGCCATTTACCTCAAACACAGTCATGCTGAAATATCAAACTTCTCCACTAGAGGCCCCTAGTCAACCAGATGTCAAGGACTAACATTTTTAGTCCACCAATTTCCCAGATCTGAGAGTCAGTAAAAGTACATTTAAGAAAAAGTGGCCGGGCGTTGGTGGCGCACGCCTTTAATCCCAGCACTCGGGAGGCAGAGGCAGGTGGATCTCTGTGAGTTCGAGGCCAGCCTGGTCTACAGAGTGAGTTCCAGGGCAGCCTCCAAAGCCACAGAGAAACCCTGTCTCGAAAAACCAAAAAAAAAAAAAAAAAAAAAAAAAGAAAAAAAGAAAAAGTGAATTTTACTATGGAGATTTTCAAGCAATACAGCTAAGCTAGAGACATGACTACCAATTATTTTCCTTGTAAAAAACTACTAATAGATTAAAAAGACAGCATACTATTTTGACTAGCCATTAAAACAGTATTCCCAGGAGTTAAGGTTACAAACAGACAAACAGGCTCTTGCCAGGAAAACGTGACAACCCGACCTGAGCTGACAGTCTGAGTTCAGTTCTTGAATACCACAGTGGGAGGAGAGAATCAACTCCCAAATGTCACCCTCTGGCCCCTACCAGCTGGATGTCTGCCAGACAGGCATGCACACAGTCAGGCTTTTTTACTACCACAGATATTCCCATAGACATCACCTGAGGTGCAAACACAAAAGACCACATACTATGGACTAACAGTGTAGACAAGTAAACAATTATTTCTCCGTTTTTCTGACAGGTACCGTTTACCACCAAATAGGTACTTTTCTTGTGAACTTTGACCCCAGCGTTAAATCAAGGAAAGTACCAAGTCTACCGGCGCTGGCCTGCTCCACGGCTAAGTGCTAACTCCTGCGTCTTCCTCTCCCACGACCCGTACAAGGTGTGCGACGGGAATTCCGCAGGGGCTTCTCAGGGGCCAGGGAGCCCTAGTCACAGGCTGACCGATCCCACTGTTGCCCGAAACCACGGCGATCGTCGCGACGTGGGTCGCCGTCTCCCGATGCCACCCACTTGAGACCCTGTCCCGCACCTGCTGCCAGGCCCCGGGCGGATCGCTCGCCCCCAGCAACGCCCCAGCCGCCCTGCCACTCAAGGGCACCGCGCTGACCCAGCCCGGGCACTCTCAGCGCTCCCGCAAATGGCTGCCAAGGCTACCTGAAAAAGCAAACTTTCCCGACGCCGCGTTATGCAACAGTCGCAGACTTTCTAAACGTCCACGTGCAAAGCAAAAGATAATAAACACGCGTTATGCAAAAAAAAAAAAAAAAAAGCAGCGGCGCCCGGGAGCTGCCTCTAAAGGACTCCCAGCTGGCCCACGCTGACGAGCAACACGGGGTGACAGGGACGGACGCACCCCCCCGCCACGCCCAATAAATAATAAAGCGCATCGGGGACTTTCGCCAGGTCCCGTGTTTTCCAGGATAGCAAAGGGCATTTGTGCACACCAACGGGGACACTCTCCTGCATCGAAACAGACCCCCGCCGCCCCCCGTCGGGCGGGAAGCGTCCCCCCCCCCCCCCGCTCCCCGGGGACGCGTGTCGTGCAGGGGGCCTCGCGCCTTACCCTTGGCCAGGGCCTCGCGGTACTTGTCCTCGGTGGCGTTCAGGTTGTTCACGTAGGCCGCGTGGTGCTTGCTGTGGTGCAGCTGCATGATCTGCGCGTTGATGTGCGGCTCCAGGGCGCCGTAGTCGTAAGGCAGGTCGGGGAGGCTGTGCTTCTGCCGGCAGCCCGCGGCCGTCGCCGCCGGGGCCAGCCGCCCGCCCGCGCTGAGAGGACAGAGAGGACGCCACCGTCAGGCCGGCCACACCGCGGACCAGCCACGCCCGCCGCCCCGAGACCCGCCCCGGCCCGGGTCCCGGCCCCGGCCCCGGCCGAGCACTCACCTGCACGCCGCCCGACACAACATGCTGAGACGCTCACTGCCGCCGCTCGCCCCACAACACGGCCGTTCGCTGCCGAGCGCGCGTCTCCTCTGCGGCGACCGCGCCGCGGCGTCCGCAAGGACAGCGCGAGGCGGTGACCCTGCCGGCCGCGCCCATCAGAGGACGGGGGGGGGAGACGGCGACACGGGCGCCCGGCCCGCGCCTAAGCGGCCGCAGAAAGAAGATAGAGACTCCCCCGCGCGGGGATGGTGGTAGCGTCCGCGAGCTTGCCACAGCCACGCCCCCTGGGTGGCCACGCCCCCGACCGGCTCTGGCCCCGCCCAGTCTGAGCTGCGGGCTGTTGGGTTATCCCCTGGTCTTCCCCCCAGCTCTCCTCTCGGAAGCCCCGGGGATGGTCCTCCGGGAAGCCACCGCCCTGCTGCTGGTCAGAGCTATGTTGTAACCAGGGCCCCTCTGACCCAGCTCCTTGTGCCCAGAATGACCTTCCCTGTTCCAGGCCGGAGTCAGGACCGCAGCCAGGTGTCTTGATCTCCCACGGGCTGCCCAGCAACAAGGGCTGCTGCAACTTAAACCGCATCCCAGGCTTGCATGCATCCATCTTTGTTACCCCTGGGGTTGGTATTCCTGACTCCAGGTGCAGCTCGCCGAACCTCGCGGTTAACGAGTAAGAGTCGGGATTAGAACGCGAAGTTCATCTTTCCTAAAGTCCTGCCTGCTGTACCCTGCACGTTTTGTGTCTTCGGTGTCTTCAAAAACCAACTGTTCAACCAAATGTAAAAGGACATTGCTTCCCTTTGTGGCCTTATAGTCTAATAAGCTATGAGTATTAAGTGTTTTCATAACAATTATATATAGAATTTAAGACAGCCTTCCTCTGCCACGGATAGGATTCGGGTTTAAGCCTTCGTGCGGTAAAACACACTATCAAAGGAAGCAGAAGGCCTGTGGCTGGCTGCATAGTTCCCGCTGTTTTCTTCACCTCCTTTGCAAAACCCCCCAAGGGTGACTGGGCTCAGAGTAAGAGACAGGCCTCAAGAGAAGTGCTGAGTGCCTGTGCTTGTTGGTAAAGGAGACCAGGGCTGTATTATGGATACCTTTAAAATTCAAAAAGCTGGGTCGGTATGGTTGGAAACAAGTGGACACGTTAGCTGAGAAAAAGGCAGCCCTGAGGCATTCCTCCAGCGAGGTGGTCTGACACTTCCCTGAGGGGCAGGCTTGTCAGTTCCACATGGTTGGGTTTTAAATCGCTGCATGAGTAGACTGTAGCTGTGTCCTCTTCTGGTTTTTGTTTTTGTTTTTTTTTTCATATTAATGTTTTAGGTTAGCATACAAAGTAGTGGGTATCGTTATGGCATTTTCATCTCTATTTCTTTTTCTTTCATGTAACAAATCTTAACCCAGGCAGAAATCTAAGGGAAAATGACTGGTACCTGGCATTGATCATAATCTCCAGAGACACAGTCCCAAATGCCATCATCCCAAATGTTGAAGTCCCAAAAGAACCAAATCCCTAAAATGTAAATTTTCTACAGTTAAAATTCTGAAAAAGTATAATGCTGAAATCCTAAAGCCAAAATTCCAAAATTCTCGATTTCCATGTTTTTTTAAAGCAAAAGAAAGATTACATAAAAAGGGTAGAGACCTAATCCTAAGGAAATTTCTAGTCACAGAATATAGATCACACACCAATTCCCAAATGTGCCACCTGCCCTGACATTCCTTCTAGCTGACAGAAGTTCAGATTTTTACAATGAATCAAAGATACATTTGCAACAACTTGGGACCACCACAAATGGGGGTGGGGGAGCAAATTCCAGGTCCTTAACTATTACCCGTTAAAAGCACACTCTCAACACCACCATAAGGCCACAATGTTTATAGACCAGGAACCCTTATGACCTAATCAAGTCAAAACTAGCGGGGCTCAAGGTGGCCACACCAATGACAAAAACAAGGAGAAACTGTCACAAGAAACCAGCATAACAGTTGCCCCCACCACAAAAAAAAAAACCTCTAGCTTCAGTAACTCTCCATTAACTTAAAAATCATTAATTCTGGAAGCCACATAGCCCAACAACACTGTTGGCTTCCTGCTAGCTTTCACCTGTGGATTTTGAGAACCATCACCTAGGCGACTTTTGCTACAGACTGTGACTCTTTGCCAAAGATGCCCACCCAGTGGGTGACTTAAATGGCATAAAATGTTTGCATCTCTGTCTTCATGTTGTGTCTGCCCCTTCTTGTTTTAAATTGAGTCAGACTCAACCCAACTTGCTGCTCATTTGGGAAGTGTTTTGTTGAAGACCACTGCACAGTGTGAACTTGGCCTCCTGCCCTCTGGAGCCGCTGTGTGTTTCTTCATCCCCAACCTGTCTTTCTCTGAGTTGCAGGCAGCCTTGCTGTATGGTCCAAACCAAACTGTGCAGCTAAGATATTTAAGCAAGAGGATGATGTCAAGAAAGACTCAGCAGTTCCTCTGCTAAGCCTCTGCCGGTCACCCTGGAAACCCCAAGGCCGGTATTTGCATACAGGAAGAACATCTTTTGCAACTGTGCCCATGACTAATGGACAGTTACAAAACTTCAGTCTTCCCTCACCCACAACTCAATAGAGGCTTGCTGTTCTTCACAGTTAGTTATTTTTCCCCCTCGGTTACCGATGTCTCCCTTTGGCTTAAACTGAAGTTGGCCAACTTAGGCTGATGTCCCAAAAAGGGGAGCTTGCCTGTCTTCCCATTTGTAGTATCTGGAACTTGAAGACATCTCCTTCCTCTGCCTCCAGAGTGATTGGAGTACAGACATGCACCACTATGTCTAGCTGCTTCATCTCAGTTCCACTGATTCCATGCCCTGGGATCCTACCATCTAGTATCAATAGCTTGAAGAAGCCAGCAGAGTCACTGACTGGTTGCAAAATAATTATATATGTGGTATAAAAAGGCTCACGGTGGTGATGTTTAGTCCCCAGAGTTGTTTCCTCTGTTCTCTGACATACATGTGAAATATACCTCACACACAAAAGATAGAACTCAACCCTGTCTCCCCACGTCTTTTTACATGTATATGCCGTATGTGCATGTTCATAGGGGTGTACACATAAGCGTCCGTGGGTGCTGTTCTCATGGAGGCCAGAGATCGGTGTCAGGTGTCTTCCTAAATCAGTCTCTACCTTCTTTTCAGAGACTGGGTCTCTTGCTGAAGCTGGAGCTCAGCGATTCCCTGGGCACCATCTGTCTCCACCACTACCCTAACAGCACAGGACCTACAGCTAGGTACCACCACACCCAGCTTTTGTGTGGGTGCTGGGGATCTGAACTGAGATCTTCACGCTTGCACGGCAGACACTTTACCCACTGAGCCTCCTCGTGTGTGTGTGTGTGTGTGTGTGTGTGTGTGTGTGTGCCCGCGTGCGTGCGTGCACGTGTGGTTTTAATGCGTAGCCCAGTCCAGATGCCCGGAACTGCTAGTCCTCCTGCCTTGGCACGCAGAGTGATGGATCAAAGAGGCGTACCTCCACGCTCAGCTCTCAAACCTGTCTTGTTTGTGCTTTGAAAGGCGCCTCTGCATGTACCTTTCCCAGTATGCTTATCCTGACTTCTCATTGCATTTTGTACTTTTAACTCAAGTCGTTAGTTTTTTTTTTAAGATTTTATTTCTTTATTACATATACAGTGTAATAAATACCTACATACCGGAATAGGGTACCAGATTGAATTGTAGATGGTTGTGAGCCACCATGTGGTTGCTGGGAATTGAACTCATGACCTCTGGAAGAGAAGTCAGTACTCTTAACCTCTGAGCCATCTCTCCATCACATCAAGTCGTTAGTTTTTTTAACCAGAGGCTTGCTGCTGCCTCTTTGTTCTGACCTTGGGCCATTTGTGCTGAGGTCACTTCTGCTTCTTTCCCAGCGACAGTGAAGAACTCAGTCTCCTGTCTTTTTCTTTGACTGGTCCCAGACCAACTCTTCCCACCCCTACAAAGAAACCAGTAAACCAGAACAGAACCAAGGAAGGATGAAAGGAAGGTTCATTCAGTGTTTAAAACCAACAGGTCCCTCCAAAAGCTCCCTGACTAATGACAACACAATGTCCCCCAACCTCACATCTATTACTGCAATGAAAGCTATGTTGCTTCCATGTGGCCGCCAGGTGGTGCCCTTTCCCAGAGCACAGTACTATATATACTATATATACACCTTCAGGACAGTTTTTGTTGAAAAGCTATGCCCAATGACCCTAAGTCCATGTGCCTGGACTGTGGATAGCCCTGTCCTGGTGTCTTGGTGAATAACTGATTTTTCTCTGGTGTTTGGCAGGGTAGAGCAGTTAGGGTAGAAATGTTATAGAAACACTCCATACACTTAGTGATTAATTAGGGAAAAGCTCTTTATTTTTATTTATTTATTTTTTGGTTTTTAGAGACAGGGTTTCTCTGTGGCTTTGGAGGCTGTCCTGGAACTCGTTCTGTAGACCAGGCTGGCCTCGAACTCACAGAGATCCGCCTGCCTCTGCCTCCCAAGTGCTGGGATTAAAGGCGTGTGCCACCAACGCCCGGCTCGGGGAAAAGCTCTTTAATGTCCATTGGCTTTCCTACCCGGCAGCATAAACAAAGAAATGTCCATAATGGCCTGACCCATAATGGTCAGCACAGGCAAACTGAGTTTTATGGTGGTGTGACTCATGGACCTTTGATACCGGCTAATCAATCTTGGTGTTTCTAGGTAGGAAGTAGGTAAGACTCTTACTGCATTTCTGTCTGATCTGTAAAAGCAGAAAAATTCTCAAACAAAATTTTTAAAAGGCTACATTGGATTGTGGAAAAAGGGAATCTTGGCCTATGTATTCAGTATTTGCGATCAACTGCCATTTCCCTTTTGAAGCTAAAATTGCCCCTAAGGTGTGATTCCTGTGATTTCAAATTTTGCTTTTGGCATCCATACTATATAATGAACAATGGCCAGACTACATACTGTTTAAAACAGAACTGGGGGCTGGAGAGATGGCTCAGAGGTTAACAGCACTGGCTGCTCTTCCAGAGGTCCTGAGTTCAATTCCCAGCAACCACATGGTGGCTCACAGCCATCTGTAATGGGACCTGGTGTCCTCTTCTGGCATGTAGACATACATGCAGAACACTGTATACATGATA